TTTTTTGTATTAGATGAGCAATATTTTTTTTATAAACCTTAAAGGAATAATGCTAGCATAATTATAGAGCATGCTTACTTGACGTCGCCGACCCACGGCGAGGTTGTTTTGGAGATGAAGGCTTGTGACAAGACTGAGAGGACAAGATACATGAGGACAAGGAACAGTCACGTTTAGAACCTATGGACAGAAGAAGAGTATGATCATCATAAATGCAAATCTTACCATGCTACAACTGAAGAAGGGACCTGGCCCTGGACTGTTGGAGCAACAAGAGCTGTTCGTTATGGTGGAGGCTGGATCATTTTGGGCTGTCAAACAATGGTCACTTTTGTTTTTTCCACAAGTCAACAGGACATCCTTGGCAATATCAGGAGATCTATCAAAAGCAAAATAACCTTACTACATTGCAATTTGGTGGTGAAACGGCTTTCACTTAGAAATTGCTAGTAAACTTCACAAATAATTACAAAGAAATGGCAAGTAAGATTGAATTAAACATACATTTTGAAGTAGCAACTTGAAATAGCATTTTCTTGAAAAACAGTACAATAATCTAGTTTATTTACAACTTCAATTTCTTTTACTGTGTATGACTAAGACTCATAAGCATAATTTAAACCAATATACAGTAAGCAGGCCCTTACCTTATATACAGTAGATGCAAACAAAGCTAAAAGAACGATCATCTGAGGAACTCAAAGTAAGAGCACAGCGTTTCGGAGGGGGTTGGTTTAGGCGCAGCACTCCTTGGGACTGGTGAGGATTGGGGATAGAGTAAGAGGATGCACTCTGAGGCAGTCAAACACTATGGGGGAGGCAGGAGGCATCCGCCTGCTGGAGGATGGATACATGAAAGGCCCCACTGTCAGTAACTCCAGCTCTGAAGTGTCATTGCAGCTCACACCCGAGTGACTCTGCCTGCTTCCCCTCGTGTGGATTAGAAAGCATTAGGGATAACTAGGCTGATCAAACTTACTTGAGTCTTGGTCCATTTGGAGCTGCCTTTGGCTTTGATCTCCAGTCAGTTGGGGCTTCGCAGCTCTGAGCATCTTTGGCTGAAGCCAAGAGAAGAGAAGAAAATTATGGCAAACAAAAAGCACAAGTCGCACAATGTCAATTTATGCCATTTGAAGCCATGCTGTCAAATAGAAATGATACAAATTCTACAGGGTGGAAATCAGTCTTAAGATTCAATCTTATTCCTGTGGACAACATGAAAATCAATGGATGCTGGTTCGTGGCTTAATTTAACCTCGTTCCTTCCTATATTTTCATCTCCTACTTATTGCGTATGTTTATGGTAATATTTCCCATGCAACCTTTAGAAACCATTTTTAAAAAAGGAACAGTCCATACAAGCAAAGGTCATCTGCGAGCGAACACCACCTTTGGCAGTAGAAAGCAGCAGCGATGGAGGTCTGTTGCGCTCCTTGCTGATGGCACTGAGGTAGAGGGATACTTTGGTGTTCATGCCGCTACTGCTGATAGCAGAGCTGGTTGAAGTGGCCTGATATGAGCTACTTCCTGTTGCATCTCGTCCGTGTAACTCCTGCTTCCAGCTAGAGACTTCAGCAGAAGTAAATCTAATTTTTATCCTGGGAGAGATGGTAACAAATGGCACTTACATTCAGCATTCGCACTATGATCATACATACGATAGATGCACCAGCTGTACTGATGTACACTCCTGTTTAAAAGTTTGGGGCATTTCTGAAGGATCATGTGACAACATATACTGGAGTAATGACTGCTAAAAAACAAACAAAAAAAAAAACAATTTGTAGTGAAGGAGACAATAACTTACCAACCCCAAACTTTTGAATAGCAGTGAACTATAGAATGACATTTGCTTCCTCAAACATTCATTAAAGCATTTTACAGTGTTCTTATTGTCATTTTTAAACAAGTTAAGCAATATTTTACACTTATTAAAAAAACAATCATAGACTAAATGCTAGCCCCATTAACTAGTCATGCACTTTATACAGTTGCAGGAACTTTTTGCATCCGAGGAAAACGGTTTAAAAATGTGTAAATGTTGTATATACCAAATGAGTGTTTTTAACCCTCTAAATATGTAAACCCTTTGTTACTGTTCTTATTTGCATAAGTACAGTACAGTGAGAAATCTTGAAACTAAAACACCAAGGATTAGCTTACAAACCCAGGATTTAAAAAAAAAAACAGACTTTAAAAACAATGTGGAGTTTACCATTTCTAGTGTAAAAAGCCCAATAGACAACTTGTAATCTGTGAAACTGTTGATCACTGATCAATAATAATAATACTGTAAACCATGACAGTAATCATTAGTTAGTCACTCACTGCCTCTGTGCTCCTGGGTCAGAATTAAGCGCATTGTTGTTATTCGTGTTTCCTTCAAATAGTTTTCCATTTGTCAGTGCACTGGCTCTGTCTTTCTCCTCCATCTTCAGACTCGTGTTCTGATTGGTGCAGGACTCTGAGGGCCCTGACTGCTGTCTTGTGGTGGGCCGATGCTCTGCTGCTGGACCACAGGACTGGAAGAACTTCTGCCTGGCTTCCTGAGTCCTCTGAGCAGATGCGGTCCACGACTGCAGAGCATGACTGAGCTCCACTGGTCTGGGCACAGCTTTGATGGGTGCAGATAATACAGAGGTGTAGCGCTGTGAAGATGGCTGATCTCCACGGTCAGATTTGGGTACCAAATCAGCAAGCGTAAAGCCACTGCTCTTAAAAGGCTTAACAGTAGGCTTGAAGTCATTTTGGCCATGTTGGTGAATGGTGCAGACCAGTGAGCCAACGTCTGCTCCCAGTTTATATGCCCCAGATTTCAGTGTGCCATAGCATACACTACACCTGTTTAAAGAGAAAAAAAGGGGGGGGGGTTGAAAAAAAAAAGTTATAGTTGCATTATGTGTTACATAGCAATAAAGTAACTAAACAGTGCAGTTGCATGCCGAAGTTAAAGACTTATCAATTGTTATGAGAAATAATAGTGATTGTTCCCAAGCACCACCAATGAAGACTCACTTAAAGCAGCTCCGGTGGTAGAGTTTTCCATCATCCAGGTGTCTCTGGACCAGATGTACATGATTTCCACATACCGCACATTCACTGTTCAACGTGCCGGTTTTATTTGAATTCTCCACCAAAACAGCTTTCTACAAAAGAACAGAATCATGAATAATAATTTTTCAATAAATGAAAGAATTAAAAAAATAATAATATAAATGAAAAAATTAAAATAAAATAAGTTAAATTAGATATAAATTCAATAAAAGACACTTTAAATAATAAAATAGGTTATAGATAAAGTATATAAAATAAAATTTAAATTGTATAACTAGGATTAGACCAAATCACTTAAATCAAGGGAAAGCCAAATTGACACCTTCTCAGCATCTGTGTGTGGCTGTGGAGATCTCACTCTGAGTGGAGTGACAGGCACCTGCACACATTTTGGCCCTGGAGATTTCTGCCAGTCTGTGCCAGTCTGCCGAGCTGAAATAGCTACAATGTGCTTCTCTGGAGCACTTTTCTGGATGTTAAGAGATGGAGGACGGTTGTCTCTGATATTTTTTGGCATTTCAGTTTGAGGAGGACGGTTCTCTGTGTTTGTTTTAAGATTGTGGTTTTTGGCAACCACAGGCAGATTCTTCTTCTCTGATGGCATCTCCTTTGAGTCCTCAGCATGCCGTTTGATACCTCCTACTCCCCCGACTGAGAAAAATAAAGCCATTGAGAAGAAAGTCTAAGAAATATGAATACATTAGATAGGAGTAACACACTAACATTATTTCAGCAGTATACAGCAAGTATACTGTGCACACTATGCAAAGTTGACTGTAGCCATTGACTTCCATAATATGGGGAAAAAAAAATACTATGGAAGTCAATGGCTACCGTCAACTGTTTGGTTACCAACATTTTTCACAATATCTTTTGTGCTCAACAGAAGAACAAACTCAAACAGGTTTGGAATGACATGAATGAATAAATGACATTTTTATTTATTTTTGATTTTTTTGGGTGGATTATCCTATAAAGTTACAAAAGGGACTGCTGGATTTACCAGATAACATTTTTTTTTTGAATTTACAGATAAAATTAGAGTTTTTACTTGTGAAATTGATAAGTTTTGCAAATGTATACATTTTTACTATATTTTCAAAATAATTCTAGCAACCATAGCTGCCAGTTTTTTTTCTATAAAAACAGGATTTTCTTTTTACAGTGTAGAATACCCAGACAAAATGTGCAATATAGAGTTTATCACTGTAAATAAATACTGTATCCCACAATGCAACACACAGCTTGACTAATTTCATCCAACTGCCCAAAGTTTAAATCAATCAGAGATAATTGAGTGCCACTAGCAGAGTTAAACATGCAATGTAATGAGGTCTTGTGACTGTTGCATACTTCTGTTAGAAATGCTTGTGGCATAATACATGCTTCACATACTGCATACTACAACTATGCTATAGAACAGTACAGTATGTGGTGTAGTAGCATTGCATTCTGAACATAGTACAGTATTCAAATTAGGGCTGGGTTTTGACAGAAATTTCACGATTCGATTCTCATTCACAAGCTTGCGATTCGATTCCCAATTCGATTCGATATCGATTATTTTGGATATATATATCAGGTAGACTACATACCAAATTTTCACAAGGAAAAAAAAAAAAATCTCTCAATTAATGCTGTAAAATATACATGAGAGTCAGTTGGTACTACATTACTAGAATACTGAAAGTTAAAATTGATGTGTTGAAATTACACTTAATTAAGTTTTTAAAATAATAAAGTTACACTTACATAATATTTCTACTTCAATTAGTTTTTTTTAAAGGGGTCATATGATGCAATTTAAAGTTTTCCTTTCTCTTTGGAGTGTTACAAGCTGTCCATGCATAGATAAGATCCCTAAAGTTGCGAAGACTAGTCTCAAACCCAAAGATATATTCTTTATAAATATGTCGTGGAGACCCTGTGTGTTTCGTTGTGAAAGCGAAACTACTTTGTTTGGCCTTCCAAAAGAGGACACGACTAGAAATCAGTGGTTAAGTTGTATTTACAACACTGTTCCAGAACAGTTCAACCCAAATATTCAGATGTGTGCAGTGCATTTTACTGAGGACTGTTTCCTGAACCTGGGAGAGTAGCCTACAATACCGTCTGCGCACAAAGGCTGTTTCTATAAAGTGGGGCAATTCCAACTTTGCAAGGACCGTCTGGCGCTTCTGACTCACAGCCTGTAAGTACATTTTTTATATTTAAAGATTTTGCCACTGATGATTCAAATGCGAGTTTTGAGCAGTGTAGAGTAGCGCTTGTTGTTTGTCATTTCTCCGATCACAAATGCAGACAGGGTTTTATGTTTACGCGGCGCGATGCAACGCAACGCGTAAAAAGGCGGTATAAGTCATTATAATCCGTAATTATGTCC